AGAGTAGGAATAGCCTGGTATGTTTTTAATGTTATAACAAAAATATTTTTGAAGACAATGTGTTTTATACACATTAACTATGTCACATAGCTTCTATGCAGCCCACACTCTAATCAGTGAAGCTCAGGGAGGCCCAAAAGCTCATCACTACCTTTCCATCCTGAGATTGTCCCCTCAGCCCACCCCTCCCCATACTCATACTCCTAAGCAAGTCAGAAATCTGAAAATTATCTGGCAGTGAGGACACATTCCTGTAATCCCAGAATAATTTAAGGCTGAGGAAGAAGAATTTCAAGTTCCAGCCCAGCCTGGGCAACTTAGTAAGACACTATCAAAAAGGGGAGAATGGCTGGGGATATAGCTGAATTCAAAGGGCCCTGGGTGAGATCTCTGTATAAGAAAACAGAAAAAAAAAAAAAAAAAAAAAAGGAAGAAAGAAAGAAAGAAAGAAAGAAAGAAAGAAAGAAAATGAAGGAAGAGAAAGAAAAAGAGATAAAGGATGAAAGAAAGAAAGAAAGAAAGAAAGAAAGAAAGAAAGAAAGAAAGACATTTCTTTCCTATGATTGGTCATAGTCAATCCAAGTACTGCCTGTTCCAAATTTCAGGGCTTGTTTCTATGCCTTTCTGGATGTGAGGCTGATCTGGCTGTGATATCTGTCACCCCATTGATCTCCAGGGTTGATTTGACTGATCTGGATGGCTAAGTGGGTGTCCAGCCCTCTATGCCTTTCTTAGGGAGTTCCTTCACTGTAAGTTTTTCACATACCCTCAGCTTATATGTCTATCAAAGACAAAGGCAGAGGCATAGGGTGTGGCAACTCTTAATTGGGTTAATTTGATTTTAGCAAAAGAAGCTATAGTGTAGCCTTCCCTACCCTTGTTAAGATGCTGTAACTTCTTCACTCCTTCCCCACCTTTGTTAAGATGTTGTCACTCCTTCAGTCCTTCCCCACCCTTGTTAAGATATTAAAAACATAAGAGGAAAACAGAACTAATTACAAAAAAAGAATCCCATTGCCATGGAAAACAAGAAAGCAAGCAGTGTCCTGAGTTCCATTCTTGGTCCAAAAACAAACAAGCAAATAAATTTTGTAGAACTTTAGTTTGTTTCCTTATCCTTCCATACCTCCATTGCTAGTTACAACGAATATCTACATTTTAAGATTGAATATATGCACCACAGTAAATGGTAATATATAAATCCTGTCATTCTGAAAGATCAAGAAATATTACTCTGACCAAAATTCTTGAATCACTTTGAGTCCAAAACCTTATCTCAGAAAATGAAACAAAACAAAAGATAAAGGCAGGATAGCATAAGGTTTCTGGTATCAAACTGAAGAATTGAAGTCAGTTTCTAAACTTTGTAGAAAGGGACCACAGATTACTCAGTGATACAGAATCTGCCTGGCAAGCGCAGTGTCCTGAGTTCCATTCTTGGTCCAAAAATAAATAAATAAATTTTGTGGAACTTCGTTTCCTTATCTTTCCATGCCTCCATTTCTAGTTATGATAGTATCTACATTTTAAGATTGAATATATGCACCACAGCAAATGGTAGTATATAAATCCTGTCATTCAGAAAGATCAAGAAATATTACTCTGACCAAAATTCTTGAGTGGCCATCATGAACCCTGAATAAAAAGCAAGGGGTCGGGGAGATGGCTCAGTAGAATAAGCGCTTCCCTGGCAAGTGCAAGGGCCTGAGTTCAATCCCCAGTTCCAGCAAAACAAAAACAAAAAACTTCATTCTCCTGTTATAATTTGGAGTTTGCTAAGGGAACAATACCATACAAGACACATCCTGTGTAAGATTATTCTATAATAGTCACCCAAAAAGTCACATGCAAAGATAGTGCAGGAAGCCTGTCCACACACTAAAGACCAAAGAATCCAGCTGAGGGCCTGGATCCCACGATGCTGTCCTGCATGAGTCCAGCTGAAGAGTTACAGCGCATAGCAAGGACCCCCAAGAGCCAACTGGAGCCAAGAGCCCATGACAATGTCTCACACAGGCCTGTTTCAAGGAGATGCACTGGGAAGGGCCCAAGGTCAGTGATGGAAGCTAGGAAGTCTGTGCCAGTGGGGTGGGGATCTGCACCAGCAGGGCAAGGGACCTGCACTGGACCCAGGAAGCAACACTCAAAGACCAGAGCTCCCCTAAAAAGTACCACAACCCTCCTCAGGGATGATGAGGTCGTGAGCTCCACCCAAGATGACAACAGCCGAGTCTGTATCAGGAAAGCCAGCATGACAAGCTTCTCAAGAGACTGAATAGCACATCGTCTTCCCCTCCAGAGCCAAGAGGCAATGCTCTAAGTAAGAGCCAGAGCTCCCTCAAAGTGAACCGCAGTCATTCTTAGCAACAACAAGGCCTGAGCTCCTTTGAACAGCTGAGTTCCTAAGGAAAGCCCGCATAACAAGCTCCTCCAGAGAACCAACAGGCTAGGGATATAGCTCAGTGGCACAAGTACCTGCCAGCAATTACAAGGTCCTGAGTTCAAGTCCCCGTACAAAAGAAAAAGAGAACAGCTTCTCATTTTGCTAGTGGCAGTAGCCCTGGGTGGGCCTCCTACACCCAGCACCACCAAAGGTTCAGTTCAACTGCGTGCTAAAAGTTTACCACCAGTTGGCACCCACCGCATCCCCAAGCTTCATTTATTCGGCTAATCACCTTCCGCTTGTGACTTTTTGCCTTTTCTTTCTTTTTGCTTGATGTTCTCCCCACCCCCCATGCCCGTCCATGGTGCTGGGGATCGAACTCAGGGCTCTGTGCACAAGGTGGGAGCTCTACCACTGAGCCGTATTCCAGCCCCACTCTCTCTAATGGTTTTATATTCATACTTTGCTTTTAATGTACTTCCTTTTTTCACTTAGAAAAATCCTGCTTTTCAATCAAATTTCCACTTTTTAAAAAAAGCTTCACTGGGCCTGGGAGATGGCTCAGTAGAATAAGTGCTTCCCTGGCAAGCGCAAGGGCCTGAGTTCAATCCCCATTTCTGCCGGAAAAAAAAAAAAAGCTTCACTGTGTGTAGTCCTCAATCACATTATAGCAGCTCTCCTGTCCCATAGCTGTTGTTTATTTGTACATTTTTCTGTCCACCCCCTGTGAGCAATTATCATGGGATTTTAAAAATATATTTAGTGCTTCATCAAAAATATATACCAGCAAAAATATATGGGCATGGCCAGCACACCTGCAATGCCTGCACTGGGGAGGCTGAGATGGGAGAGTCATTGTGAGTTGGGACCATTCTAGGCTACAAAGCGAGCTCAAGGCCAGCCTGAACTGCATAGCAAGACCCTGTCTCAGAGAGACTATACATAACCCACCTCTATAGGTAAGTACATACACATAACAGATACATGTTTATTACTGCATTTGTTTGTGATACTTCAGATTGAACTAGAGGCTCACATCTTAGGCAAACACTCTAGAGTTATCTCTTAAGCCCTTGTTATTTTAAACAAGCCATAGTGGTGCACCTGTTTTCACAATTGATCCCACTGCAAAATACAAATAAGTACTAATTCTTTACTATGTACCATGGTTCTAAGGGCGTGGCCTGCAGTATCATCTTTAATCCTCTGGCCATCCTTTGAAGGAAGTATGGTTGTCATTCCATTTCACAGATAAATAAGCAAAGAGGTGCAGAGTTAAATAAAAAGCCCACCCCATCACCAGCTGAGAGACAGTCTCTGTCAACTAGAGGCATCTTTATGTGGTGGTAATCCCGGGAGGCTCTCTCTGGACCCTTTCAGTTTGATTCTGCTAGGGTGGACTTCTTTGGTGTAGGTAACCAACATTAGGATCACAAGTTCAAGCCCGGAAAGGAGATGCAAAAATAAGTTATGTTATGTACATATACCAAGTCCTCCCAATGAAGGTAACCATTATACAAACATATACTAATAAATTTTTTTTTAAAAATTCAATCCCTGGGCTTGCCGTGCCAGACCTGTCCCCAGGGTGTGCTGAGATGGCAATTGAGACTGGGTGTGGTGGAGCACGCACTGTAATCCCAGCTCTTGGGAGGCTGTAAACAGGCAGATCACTACAAGTCCAATCTAGTAGTGAGACCCTGAACACCCTGTAGACACTTCCCTAAAATAAAAAACAAACAAACAAAAAAACAAAACAAAACAAAAAAAAACCCAGAAGTCCAGTCTGGGTCACTTAGCCACTTATTGGATGGGTAAAAGAGAAATTACAAAATCACTTCTGATTTGCCGTGGGCAGCACTTTATTTTACATTAATACTTAATGTGATCATTGGTCTGCAGAATCCCATGGGTGTTACTACTAGCCTGTCTAGTCACCCACATCATAGTAAAAGCTGAATGTCACTTTGGACGGTACCTTTCAGAGACCCACTCCATGCAAAACTTCAAGTTGCTGAGCATGCGCCTGAGTGCCGTGGTCCACTGCTCCTCCGTGTTGAGGTGGGTGCGCACCGAGCAGTACCCCTCGGGGTCCGCGGGGTCTCCCAGGAATCCCTCCTTGGTGTGCACCTCGTAGGGCACACACAGCCCACCGCGCCTGGCCGCCTGCTGGAACTGCTGCAGGCAGTCTAGGAAGGCCAGCATGGCGCGGTCGAATTTGTTGTTCAGAAAGACATTTTGCCTCCCATCAGAGGCCAGGGGTAGCTCCTCACCCTCGCCGATCCTGGACTTCAGGTAGGAACGGCTCCCACAGGCCACCAAGTGGTACCGCTGGAACTGCAGCCCCACAGCATTGGACAGGGCCAGCAACAGCAGGGCTGCTTGTCCCCAGGCCGCGTTGATCTCATTCCAGCCCACGGGGATCCGTGGGAGGCGGCCGAGCCGGAAGCTGTTGATGACGCCCACGGGACCATCCTCCGAGATCTCAAAGGTGGCATTGAAGATGTCGGTGGTCCTCAGTTGCCGAATTTGATGCTGGGCGTACATCAGCCGGTTGTCCAGGCTGCTCAGCTCGTCCAGCAGTTCCTGCTGTTGCCACTGCGAGGCCCTGAAGTCCTTCAGGTGCTGCTTCTTCTGCTGGACCAGCTCTGCGGTCTTGGCCTGGGCTGAGCTCAGGTGGGCAGCGACCTCGGCCTGGCTCCTGCCCAGATGCTCCAACTCCTGCACCAGCCTGTCCTCCTCCGCCATCAAGTCCTGCAGCTGGGCTTCCAGGGTGGAACTCTCGTCCCCACTGCGTGGCCCCCCAAACTCCAGGCAGCGCTGGTAGGTCTGGCAGTCACGCTGGGCGCTTGCCAGCTGTGTGTCCAGCTGCTCCAGGAGGCAGTGGGTGCACTCCTCACAAAGGGGGTGGTCCACGCCTTCCAGGTCTGAGAGGGCGTCGAAAATGTAGGCGCAGGTCTTCTGAATGCTGTCCAGAGTTTTCACGGAGATGCAGTCGCCCAGTAGGGTGAAGGATTTGACTCTTTCCTGGGACTTGCTGCTGTTGGGTTCACTGGGGCTGCTGGAAGCACTTGCCTGTGCCCCTTGGCTTGCTGCCAGCTCCTTAGAGTTGCCACCATCCTCCTGGGTGGCTCCTGGACCCCCTGGAACCAAGCTAAGGGTGTCCAAGGTCTGACGAGACTTGAGGGGCTGGTGGCAGTGTTGGCACAGGAATCGCATGGAGGACATCCCACAACTTTCTCTCCCCAGAGCCCGGGTCTCTGAGACTTCCTTGCTGCTTACTAGACTCCTTTTAAGCTCTTTCTAGAAGAGCAGTTCTTTTAAAATGCATAGCTCATAGCCAGGTGTGGTGGCCCACACCTATAATCCTCGTACTTGGGAGGCCAACGCAGAAGAATCACCGTGAGTTCAGGGCACAACCTTGGCTACATGGTGAGTTCAAGGCTAGCCTCAGCTACATAGCAATCATCACAGAACCTGATCCCTCAGTGTTTGATACCCTCTTAAAATAAAGGCTAAATAAATAAACAAATGGGTGTGGTGGTGCATGCCTATAATCTCAGTACGAGGGGGGCTGAGCTAGGAGAGTCACTGCAAGTTCCAGGTTAGTGTGGGTTGCTAGAGTTCCATGCTAGCCTCCACTACATAGCAAGACCCAGCCTCAAAACACCAAAAAGAAAACAAACAAACAAACAAAAAAGGGCCTGGGAGGTAGCTTGGCGTCTAAGTGCCTGCCTGGAAAGCCCAAGGACCCAGGTTTGATCTCCAGTACCATATGCCATGCCCGCCTCCATCAAGCCCTCCACTGAAACTGGGCGTGGTGGTGCCTGTAATCCCAGTGCTGGAGAGGCTGAGACAGGAGGATCACTATGAGGCCGAGCTGCATAGCAAGAGCCTGTACTGAATAAATAAAATAGATTTTTTTTTTTTTAAGTCTCCCATCATGAGCTAAAACCAGGGCTCAAGGAATCTCTCCCAGCCCCCTCCAGTCTCCATCCTGGGCAGGCTGCTCTGTCCACACACTTGCTATGTGCTGTTAGCTGCCATTCTCTCCCCTGAGAAAGGTGCCCTTCCTTTCCTTCTGTACCAGCTCTTGCACATCTTTCAGGGCTCCATCTGGCGCTCTCTCCAGGAAGCACCTCCTGATCTCCCCATTTCTACTCCACACTCTGGTGACACATCTGCTGCCTTTTGTCACACAGTGGTGGGTGCACACAGCCAAGATTTTCACTTAATTCACACATCAAAACAAAATGGTCGGGGGCTGGAGAGATGGCTCAGCAGAATAAGCGCTTCCCTGGCAAGCGCTTCCCTGGCAAGCACAAGGGCCCAAGTTCAATCCCCAGTTCCGGGAAAACAAAAAACAAAACAAAACAAAAAAACAGCAAGGTTTTTTGGGGCCTGCCCACTATCTCAGGTGTTTAAATGCCTGCTGAAACAAAGCAGTCAGGTTCAGGATCCCCTCATCCTCAAGCCAAACCAGACCTGCCCTGAAGGCATCTTGCGGGGAGGGGGAAAAAAAAGGCCTGGAGGTATGTATTCTACCATCTGCTCAGCCACAGAGCAAGAGATGCTGCCTTCTAATTAACCCGATTAACAGAACATTCAGGGGCTGGAGAGATGGCTCAGTGGTCTAAAGCACCTACTTGAAACAAGCTTGGCAAAGCACAGGGACCGCGGTTCGATCCCCCAGCACCACATGCCAGCCAGCCCCGCCCCCTGGTGGGCTGAGCTGGCCACACACACACAATAAATAAATGTAATAAATAAAAATAAATAATTTAAAAAAAAACAGAACATCCAGCACAGAGGAAAAAAAAATCCTTATGACTTCCAATGGTGTCCCAGGGCCTGCTGTGCTGAGGCAGCAATGAGACTGGGCGCGGTGGATAGCCTGTACCCCCAGCTCGTGGGAGCCTGTAAACAGGCGGATCACTGTGAGGCTGATCTAGTAGTGAAACCCTGAACACCCTGGAGATGCTTCCCTAAAATACAAAAAAAAAAAAAAAACCCAAGATGGGCACGGTGGCCCACACCTATAACCCACCCTGTGTTCAAGGCCAGCCTGAGCAGCAGCCTGGACTACAGTGGCACACACCTATACTCCTAGCATTCAGGAGGCTGAGGCAGGAGGAATGTCACATGTTTGAGACCAGCCTGGACTACCTAGTGATCTTAAGGAAACCCTGAACTGCATAGTGACACCCTGTGTCCACAAAAAAGGAAAGAAAAAGAAAAAGAAGAAGAAAGAAAGAAAGAAAGAAAGAAAGAAAGAAAGAAAGAAAGAAAGAAAGAAAGAAAAAAAGAAACCTTAGCCAGGTGTGGTGCACATATCTGTAATTGCAGGAGACTCAGAAGGCTGAGGCAGGAGGGTCACCCTGAGGTCCCCAAAACAAGAGTCCTCTGTGACCCCTTCTTCCCTGACAACCTGGGCAGAAAGGAAATCTCATCTCTAGAGATTTCCTCATGAATTCCTGCCTCCTCCTTCTAAGATCTCATTCATGAGGACTTAGGAGAATCCAGCAGTGGGAGTGGGACAGCGAGTTCTGGGCAGAGGTTCTGCTTGCTGCATTGTGGCCGGCGCTTAGCTGAGTATATTTAATGCTGCCCCCAGAACTAGAGACTGAGTTGGGGGTGCTGAGCTGCAGCTGCAGCCCCTCAGCCACATGGTCTCACCGTGCTGCCCTGGCTCACCTCGAACTTGCACCTCAGCTTCCTGAGCTGCTGGGATCACCTGTGTTCCTGCACTTCTATCTTTATTTTGAGATGGGATCTTGCTAAGGGCCAGGCTGGGCTCAAACTTTTGAATTTCTTGCCTCAGCCTCCCAAGTTGAAGGGTTATAAGCATGCGTCACTGCACCTGGCTAGGCAAATAGGATCCTTCGCCCAGGTCCTTGGGTTCCTTTGCTGCAGAACTTTGAGGGGAATCATCCATTCTCACTGGGGCTTCCAGCCCTTCCCGTGAGAGCTCACTTTCATCCTCACCACTTTGTGGGGAACTCTTCTTAACGAAGTCACAAATGCCTCTCATGCCACATTTAATCTCAGTGGCATAAGAAGCAATCTCATCAATTAAAAGTGAGGATGGGGGCTGGGCATGGTGATAATCCCAGCACCTGGGAGGCTGAGACAGGAGGATTGCTTTGAGTTCCAGGCCAACCTGAACTACAGAGAGAAACCTTGCTTAAATAAATGTGAGGATGGGGAAGGAGAGATTGTGTGTGACTGTCACCTGGAGAGTGAGGGGTCCAGAGAAGCCAGATATGCTGCCCAAAGGGGGTCACATTTCTCTCCAGCCACAGTGAGCTTGGGACTGCTGTCCAGCAAGCAAGACTCAGTCAGGGACGGCCAGTCAGATAGCTCAGAGGATTAAAGTACCTGCTTAAGCAGACACAGGGACAGGTTTGATCCCTGTGTCATACTGGTCCCGCCCCCAGGGCTCACTGAGACAGTGATTGAGACTGGGCATGGTGGCAAGTGCCTTTAATCCCAGCACTTGGGCTACTGAAAACAAGAGGATCACTATGAGTCAGGTCTGTGTAGTGAGACCCTGCAGACCCTGAGCTAAATACATTAAAAAAAAAAAAAAAAAAAAAGACTCAGCTAGGGAGATGTGCGACAAGCAGGAGCAGGGGTGACCAGGAAGGCCAACTGCCGGAGCGCAGGTGGGGGAGGGAAAGGAGCCTGTCAGACTGAGCCTTATCTGAAGATCTCACAAAGGAGCACACAGGGATCAAAGGTGGAAGAGAAGCTTCCCTGAGCCCAGGCGTGGAAGAAAGGTGAGGTAGGGTTTCATGTGTCTGGAGTTTCAGTTTGGGAAGGACAGAGCTCTGGGGAACGGGACATGGTAGCATTGCCTGGGATCCCAGCGCTCAGGAGTCAGAGGATGCAGTTCAATATGAAGGCCTGGGGATCCGGGTCCAGGGCCCCAGAAAGAAAAGGAAAAAGGGTCTGGAGAAACAGTGCAATGAATGAGACAGCCCTGTGGTAAGGACACAGACCCATGTACTTCAACATAGTTCCAATGGTAAACCTCACATTCTACCCATCTTATTGCCACTGAGGAACACATACCAGAAAGCTCCAGACTGCGCTGCCTGCAGGGCTAAGGTGCGCCATTTCTTCTATGAGTCTTTTTTTTTTTTTTTTTGTATGTTTTTTTTATTTTAGAGAAGGGACTACAGGGTATTCAGGGTCTCACTACTAGGTCAGACTTTAGTGATCTGCCTGTTTACAGCCTCCCAAGAGCTGGGATTACAGTGGGTACCACCACGCCCAGTCTTAATTGCTGTCTCAGTGTGCCCCGGGATCGGGGGTGGCAGGTCAGGCCCGGGGATCAAACCCCGGCCCCTGTGCTTGCTTACAGGCACTTTAATCTGCTGAGCTATTTGGCTGTCCCTCTTCTATGAGTCTTTAAACCAAGAATCACTGGGATGATAGGCCAAAGTCTTTTGTTGCTATTTGAAACAAGGTCTCATTGTGTAGTTCAGGCTGGCCTCGAACTCGCAGTGATCCTCTTGCCTCAGCTTCCCAAGTGCTGGGATTATAGGCATGTGCCACCATGCTTGGCTCTCTCAGGAATATTTGTCAGCTTTGTGGCTTTGAGGGCCGAGTGTTCAGCTGCTGGATGGTCCGCACTGCTCCTCAGGCCCGGGCCTCCTAGACTCAAGCTTTGTTCTCTTGTTTTGCTTCTGATAATCGGGCTCCCTCCCAGTTCCCCAAGCCAGCAAGGCAGCTGGAGAGCCCTGTGGGTCAATCTGGAGTGAGAAGAGGTTTGTTTGATTTTCTTTTTTTAAGACTCAAACTTTTTTTTTTTTTTTTTTGGCAGAACCGGGGTTTGAACTCAGGCCCTGGCGCTTACCAGGGGAGCACTTATTCCACTGAGCCATCTCCCTGGCCCCAAGGCAGTCTTTCTCAGTCTCAAAATTACCCAGGCTACACTCAGACTTGGGATCCTCCTGCCTCAGCCTCCCAGAGTGCTGAGGTTACAGGCATGAACCACCACGCACAGCTGGTAAAAGGATTTTAGATGGATATTGGGATCCTTCAGGTTTTAGGATTCGTGCACAAGTAGACCTGCTATTGAACATTGCGCCTGGTGCTAAACCACGACGCTGGCCCATGAGGAGCGCAGCCAAAGCTCACTCTACCCGCAATGGTGATCTCACAGAGACACAACTGCGTGCTGTGGTTTCAGGAAATCCAAGAGGCGGAAAAGACCACGGAAG